TAGCCATGTGCTTTCATGATGGTGATGCCTCAGGTCCTTCTCCTGATCTGCTCACAGACCGGGCCTCAGGATGTGTTCTCTCCAACCTGGGCCTTGCTTCTCCAGGTTCACTGACAAAATCTCCTGTGCAGAATCCAGAGATGGTCCAGCAGAACCTTATCTGTGATTTTCACATGCTGCTTACTACCTTGTTGGGTTTTCATTTTTCCTTTACTCCAGTGAAAGGCTTTCTAGATTATGTTTTGAGACCTTTGGTTGTGGGGAAGGAATCACCTGGTATTCTAATACCTTACCCTTTCCTTCCTGCACATGCCTCAAGTTAATGTTTCATCTGTCCATTTTCTGCTGTCTGTAATGGAAGCTGTGCAGGAATCCTTTGTAATCAGTGTTCCTCCTGAACCAAATCAGGCTCTTTTCTGATCATTAGCATCCGTCAGCTGTCCAGTGAGAGCGTGATGGACATTGTTTACATCCTCAGAAAACATATTTGACTATTGGTTGTTTCCTGCTGAATGTCCACAAGTTAATAAGTGTTGAAATCTCAACAATTGAATATTAAAGTGGCCTTTTGTTTGAGAAGCTAAATAACAGAAATCTGGAAATTTTAGATCTTGGGGTCCAGTTTTCATGCAAATTCACTTTCTGCATCATTTGATATTTTTTGGGGAGAGTCATTCGTCCCCTGGCTCCTTCAATAGCTAGTTCCTTTTTGTGTAATTTCCAGCTTTGGCCCTGAACTGATTTTGACACCACCTTCCTTAGTGTTCTTCCATCGTTATTCATAACGTGATGGATATTTCAGGAGCTGTGCTAATCTGAGGGTTTGGTTTTTTCCCTCCATTCTTGTTTCTTCATGTGCTTGTTCACCATCGGCATGTCTTTTTAGTTGAAGTGTCTGTTCATATCCCGTGCCCAGTTTGGAGTTGGGTAGTTTACCTTTATCCCTTGGTCTTGGCTTGCCTGTTCTCAGCGTCTCCAGCTCCTCGATCTGTCCAGATGTGAGAAGATCACAGACGTGGCTCTGCAGAGGATCTCCACGGCCCTGGAGATCCTGGCATCTCAGCCCAATGCCGTCGACCTCTGAAATAAAGAAGACATTACCGTGCAGTCCCTTCAATCGTTCATGAAATTCTCAAAACCCCCAGCTCTAAGAAAAATGCATATCAACAAGTACTGTGCGATATCATCTCAAGAGTAAGAGTAGCACAGCAGCAGAGAAGACGTATTGCCGAGCTTCTAATGAGACTGAAACCCTCATTCACCGTTGGTGGGAGAGACTGGAACCTTCTTTCCCTGTTGGTGGGAGTGTAAAAGGGTGCAACCACCGTGGGAAGCAGTATGGTGCTTTCTCAAAAAGTTGCAAATAGAGATACCATTTGAACCAGTAAATCTACTACTGGGAATATGTCCAAAAGAGACCATAACTACCACCCAAGCAGATCTATACAAACCCATGTTTATTGCTCCTTTGTTCACAGTAACAAAGAGTTGGAAACAGCCCAAGTGCCTGTCAACAAACGGATAGATAGAGAAGCTGTGCTATAGCCACACGATGGAGTACTACGCAGCACTGAAAAACAAGGAACTCAGGAAATGCAAAACGGGTGACCCTGGAGGACAACAGATGTGAACCCTGTCCTGTTCTAAGCCATGATCTAGAGTTAGTGTTTCATCTTCATAACGTTTGTGTGTTCCTGGTTCTCTTCCGTGGGAGCGGTGGGGGATGGTTTCTAAGCTGCACACACCTTGCTGGTTCTTCCGCAGCTCACTTAAGACTGATGGACACGAATGAGAGACATTCTTTGTTAGTGGGCTTCTCAGCCTCCAAAGCTACTACGTCGTGGATGGTTTCCTGTTTGATGGCAGTTAGTAACTGAGT